CACACACATTTAAAGTACGATTTGTCAAATCGAACTAATGTTTGTGTTAATATGCCTGACTTGAGCCTTTAAATTTGTTCCTGCAGAATGATTTGTTCAATGAATGTGCAGGTTGAGTGTAGACTTTGAGAACCCCTGGTTTATACTATATATATATGTTCTCAAAGCTTCAGCTTTCTTAGCTGCAAGGTGGCTGACAAGATTGTCTCTAGAAAGTATTTTTGCATGTAGAGGTTATAGGTTCCAATACCTAGTTAGGCATCTTTTCATTATTATTTGGTTTAAATGACTATCACCTCTTCATAATAACAACTATACATAGTTCTAATGCAGCAATTTTGAAGGACCAAACGCTTTGCCACTAGTACAAAATCAAAACTGAGGTAGGAAGTAGTAAACACACACACACAGGGAAAAATACCGTTATTAGAAGCAAGACCAGAAGGAGATACGAGTGAATAAAGACGTTCACCCAACTCAGTGGCGGCGACAGGGTGGTGCTGTAGCTCCCCCTATAATTGCCGTAGCACCCGCCCAGCACCCCCAAGAAATGTATGTAATTTTGTATATTTATATTTTAATGTCATGTTTGAATTGTCCTTTTGATGTTGTTAAAACGGGGAATAAATAATAATTTTAAAATACATATTTTTTATAAAATAACATGAGGCACAAACAGGTGATCTGCTTTGGAGCGCCTGGTAAACTTTGGACCTTAACGTGAAACTTCCTGTCACATCAGTTAGCTGTGAACGCAGTTTTTCTTGCCTGGGCCGTGTACAAAACTACCTGAGGAACAGTAGTGGAGACACTAGAACCAGTAATCTGGCACTTTTGGCTATAGACACGGAGAGAACGAGGACCATTGACTGCGACAACATCATTGATCAGGGCTTGAATTTCGGTGCGGGATTGCGCATAATTTAAACCATTCCTGCAAGGTTAGTTTTTATAGTGCGAGAAATTCCAGCACAAATATATTTGCTTCATCTCAGACCAAGGTAAAGTTGGCTGGATATTCGATATTGGGTATTTAACAGATATTCGGAGCCCGAGATCGGGTCCGGTTTTCCCGCAAGCAGCCACACTAAACCCGGGTGATCAACCGACAGAAACCTCCGTGTGCTTATAGTTAGGGACCGTCAATAAAGTACAAGTCTCCACGTTATTAATTCAATAGCTGTTTAACCATTTGCCTTTGAAACTTCAAACCACTTTAAGATTGTTTTATAGAGGACACTCACATTTTGCACAGCTTTGTTCTTTTTTAAAGGAAATGGTGTTGAGACGTTTAATAAACATTTAAAAATTGTAAAAATCTTTTTTGTGGAATCACTTGAAAACCTCAATTTACTTTCATATTGTCTACAAAGGTCTTTCACATGTTGCACATGATTTGGTTTTTCAAAATAAAACATTTTAAGTTTTAAAAATACATTTAAATACTGGAAATCTCATTATGTTTTTTGTGCAGTGACCTATTAACCTCAAACCACTTTCAGATAGTCTGCAGGGGCCACCCACGTGTTGCACAACTGGAAATGCACAATTCATGCATACAAATCTGTAGATATTAATAAATGAAGATGATTTAATTAGATAGATGCATCAAAAGTTATTCTCTCCCCCATAATATTTAGACCCCCCAATGTGACCCATGTAAGGGGGGAATTCCCCCCCAGTTTAAAAAATCAAATTCAGGCCCTGATTGATGCCTTCACACTCAATCACAGCAACAGACGTATTGTTTTGTTGTGAAGACGTCTATGGTTAGTGCTTGATTCCCCCCTATGTTGGCTATTACAAATGTAATTAATTTTGTTGTTGAAGCACAAATATTGGCTTTAGTTACATTTATGATGCTCCAATAATAGGAACACTGCTGATTCATCATTAGACTCGTGTAGGTAACTGGCTGTGTGATTTCGTGATCTGAGCATTTTAGGCCAAAGCGTGCAGCCTTCTGTTGCTGCTCCATTGTATTGGCTCGACTGTGACAGAATTGTGTGAAATATTATTTACAGAGGTTAACATTGGCAGGCGTATGTATGTTTTATCTATAGCCCTTGAGTTGAATACTGTCATATATATTATTATATGTGTCTTCCAAGGGTGGTCCGATGCGATCTACATAATGAAACACCCCAAAATCGAAGCACCTTCTCTTAAGTGTTGAGCATCCCCATAGCACCTGCAACCGAAAATCTCTAGAGCCGCCACTGACCCAACTTAACAGCTTCAAAGAGACATGATCACGTGATCGTTTGACCAAGCTTCTATAGACCAATTATTTGTTTGTATACATTTGGGTTGCGCGCGCATCTAGGTTGCAGAAAACGCAGCAGAGAGTATCTAGCTATATTGATATAGCACAAAAGAATAACTCAAAAGAAGAATCGTTAAGCTAACTATCTTTTCAAAATGTACTCTGCTTACTACAACAATCTGTCACCCAGCGATAAGCACTGTTATTTAAGAAAATTGACGTTAATGTGTGGAATACATCTTACAGATCCTTATGCCATAGCGCCCTGTAAATGGTTAAACGACTAAACGAAATTGCCTAGCATTCAGTGGCCAGAAATATATAACTACCCGATTGACACTCCAAGCATTTATACCCGGGAGAAGTTAAAAGCGTACAAATCTCTTGATGTGTACAACTTTGTTCTGTGTGGTCATGTCCAAGACATAAAACTAGAGAGAAACACATGTTGTTTGTATGACTTTGAGTAGGTTAAAAAATAGTTTAAAACAAGGTGGATTATTAGTCGCTGAGAGTGCATTTCCTATGAAAAAGGACTGCCTTGAAATAAATACATGGGGAATTGTGAAATACACAAGTCCCTTGAAATAAATGTTGTCTTATGGAAAACATAATTTTGAAATGAGACTTATTTCTTTACATATGAAGTGATTTATACATTTATATTTACACGTATTTATGTAATTATTGCATAATTTCATAGATATATTTATTATTTCATAGCTGTATTTATCTATTTAATATTGACGCAAATGGCGTTCCATACTGACACCACAAACGAAATAAGAAAATATATCAGGAAATGGGATGGGAGGTAAGGCGTCAGGGTCGCGGATCCACTGGTCTCTTGGGACTTCATACGGATCGACATTTCCAATAAAGTTGATTCTTTCAACATAGCGTTTTGAATGTTACTGGCCGTCTTTTGAAACCGACATGCGCGGTTGAACATGCGTGACGTCGATGTGACGTAGGGTGATGGTCTATTGAAACCAGAAGCAATTCACCACACAACACAAACGAGTAAAAAACAAACACCAAGCGAGTGTGTCATACTGTGGCGCAACCGGGATATTCCAGCCCTCAGTTCGTAAGGTCTCTAATTCGATCCTTCCTGTTGCGTTAATACGATTTAAGACACATTGCTTCGAATGTAACGATAACGACGGAGGAAAGGGCTGTTGGCAATGCATCTAAATCAAACATGTGGTATGACATTATGTCCATCAGATGTCGCTATTGTGCACTCTGGGTTTGAAAGCTTCGAGCAATCAAGCATTTATTTTTCGAAACAACATGTACGTGACGTAGTGTTTTGCCCAGGTTGAATTGCGACGTTACAAAGTTACTCCACTTGTATGAATCACGGCTAATCAATCTGCATGATACAGAGGAAATCATCTAGCATGTCGTGACAGCGGGGATCGAGATTAACATTACATTCTATATTGTCGAAGCAGATTTTATAACACAAATGTGTGTCTAGCCTGCCTATTACAACTTGCAATGCATCTTCCACTCTTCTGCCTTTCAAAGGTAGGTGTATTATTATTTATGCACGTTGCAGTAGCCATGTGTACAACGATAAATTAATTGCTAACAGGGGCTGAAAGAGTGCTTAGTCATGGAGCAGAAACAGGGAGGAGGGTACTTCTGGGCGCATCCTATTGGCTGCTTAGTCATGGACCAATAACAGGGAGGGTACTTCTGGGCGCATCCTATTGGCTGCTTAAACAGAGAATATTTGTTAGTATTCTGAAGAAACAGAACTTGCTATAGTTTGAACGGCCTGTGTCTGAATATTATGGCAACTCAACCCAAGGTGAATAAATGTACAACCCTCAGTAAGATATGATAATATTATGTTGTTATCACGGAAACTCATGTGTTTTTCCCATTTAGCCCATTCTTCATGGATATTTCAGGAGTTCATGCTCTTGGAGAGTCCGAATTGGTAAGTTCCTTCTGCCTACTTAACAGCTTAAGATGAAGACAACGAACTGACTTTAAACATGGTAAAAAAATAACCTAGCTTGCTTCTTCCAGCTTTTGCTCTGAAAGGTATTGAATTTGACCAAGTCCCAGTCAATCTCATTAAAGATGGGGGACATCAGGTAACTTTCTTATAAATGTTTGTTTTCTAATACAGTTTTAGGTTAATTCATTTAATAGTTTAATGTCCTTATACTGTGCCTGCTGTAAATGTTTGTTTTCTAATACAGTTTTAGGTTAATTCATTTAATAGTTTAATGTCCTTATACTGTGCCTGCTGTAAATGTTAGTTTACAGACCATTACAAGCAGTTAAATCCTATGCAACAAGTGCCTGCTGTCCACATTGACGGAATCACCCTGTCACAATCAGTAAGTTCTCAATGTTATAATAAAGAATTGGATTTATCTAGCGCATTTCGACCAAATAACATACTCACTGATCTATACTACATCCACTTAATACAATGACAATACCCATCCCCTCACCTTCAGCTGGCAGTGATCCAGTACATTGAAGAGACCAGACCAGGACCCAGCTTCCTTCCTGTTGACCCCAAGAAGCGTGCCCAAGTGCGCATGATCTCTGACATCATCGCCTCTGGGATCCAGCCCTTGCAGGTTAGTGAAATAGAGCATAAAGTGAAAAAAAAGTGAAAGTACACCACCACTGCAAATCTTGATCTAGTTTGCAAAACCACCTTTGTTCACAATAATGACAAACATCTATATCAAATGTTGGAGAAGTTGTTAGCTCAGTGGTAGAGTGCATGCTTTGCATGTATGATGTCCTGGATTTAATCCCCAGCATCTCCACAAGTCGTCGTCGCAAATGAGAATGTGTTCTTAATCGCCCTACCTGGTTACAAAAAGGTTACTTTTTTAAAGATGTTAGGTTCTCAGACATGCTCACATCATGTGGTTGAATTGACACAGCAACGATGATGACTGTAGAGGTACTCAATCATGTTGGATCCCTTGTATTTCAGAATTTGTGTGTGCTACAGAGGATAGGAGACCAGAAATTGCAGTGGGCACAACATTTCATTCAAAGAGGTTTTGAAGGTGGGTAGGATAAGTTGGCATTCATTCAATGCCATCTCCAGAAAACTATTACAGACATGACTTCTGTTTTCACCCACAGCCCTGGAGCCTATTCTTGAAGAGACAGCTGGCACATATTGTGTAGGAGACGAGGTGAGGAGACAGTCATTTATCACATATGAAAACACTGTGGTACAGTAATGTAGAACTCAGTTGACACTGAGAAAGTATTAAGACAATCCTGTTTTTACCCATTAGATTTCCATGGCAGACATTTGTCTTGTGCCGCAAGTCTATAATGCTGAACGGTAAGACAAGTAAAGTCATTCAGAATTGTAATTGAAAAACACCGCAGCTTGAATGTGATGTTAAACAGACCCTAAAACCCATATGAAGACTTTAATATTTGCCCAACAGGTTCAAAGTGGATGTAGATCAGTTCCCAACTATCAAAAGGCTAAACCAAACTTTAATGGAGGTAGATGCTTTTAAAGAAAGCCATCCATCTTGCCAACCAGACACACCGGCTGACCTGAGGACTTGAGAAGTCCGCTGACATCTACTGGAGTCAGTAGCACCAGCGAATACTTTAATAAAATGGTTTCACGTGAATCATTTGCTTTCAACTTCATCACTTGAAACAACACAACTTTTGGGTTAAGACTGTTTATTATATGTTAGAGAAATGTTTAGTTTGAATGTGTAATGCATGTATTGTAACATTTCCTCCATCAGTGGATTTGTGAATACAAATAGAATATTAAAATGTCAAAAGATTAACTTAATTTCACAATGTTCACTACCTAATGTCATAACTCTACACTGTTTCAGTCTAAACTTTCAGAGTTGTTTAGCTCTGGTTGATTAAACCAAGCTTAACCATATGAAAGAAAGTGCCTAAAGCTTTACCATATTAATATTGCAAAAAATTTGGAAAATGAAAATCAGTGTAAATGTTCCACTGCACCATGACGTTCTACACCTGACTAGACTATATAGCAAAGCAAACATAAAAACCATTGTCATTGAAGACTCCCAGCCTATGGTAACCATTACACAGAAGACTTGTCCTAGCAGTCTCAATACACATCATTTAAAATCTGTAAACAAAACCGTGATTAATTGTTTCTCTAACTTTAAAATGTTTTGTTCATCTTAAGATTCACTTGTCATCAGAGATCTCCAACGTGCACTTCACTATGTCATTGTAAAAGGTCCCAGCACAGTCACTGCCCCCAAACAACATGATGGTGTAGGGGGTGTTAGCATCGTTCCCCTGCTCCTGTTTGTCAGTATTTGATAGGACAGAACCTTCCAAATGTATCATGCTATGTCCGGCACGCGGCTTGGCATAGAGCAGAGGGGACACCACTGAACTCCACATACTGGTGTCTGAAAAAGACAGAGTATTTCAAAATGATACTGCATTTGCATTTTATCTTTAGTAGAGAAAGCACGATTGGCTTTGTACTCACCCACATTGAAGATATGGATGTCCTGCAGAGCTCCAATAGCACTGCAACCTCCACTGATCATCATCTTGTTGTTTGATACTGGTAGTGCTGCATGATATCTGACCCCCCACACATGCACACAAACACGAGATTGGTTAACATTATCCCAGTGAAACAGCATTTGAACAATACACTAAACATCACTCTCACTAACGTAGGTCTCAATCCCACAATAATCAATTTAATACAACGTTAAAAATATTGGTACGGGTCACGTTTCAAGTTTTGTAAATCAGAAATATTAACAATTATTTTATATATATATTTTGTTACCCTCGAGGCAGTGGTGGCATGTTCTCGTATTTGACAGCTGTGTACTCCATGAAGCCTTCAACCGAATGAAATTATGCTTTAAGACAACATTGCAACAATTTTGTTTAGAATACTGCAAATTACTAGTGGTTACCAAGATCCAAAATGTGTAGGTCATTTAAGTAGCTGGCTGTCATCCTGCCACCAAAAATCAGCAACTGGTTTGACAAAAGTGTGCCAGAGTGCCTGTTTAACATATACAGAAAATGTTAAATAAGTACTTTGGCCCGCAATGGTTAGATAAAGTATTAAACGTGTTTTATTGTCCAGTGAATACAAAGACAGTAGAGGACCACTGACCCATATCTAGGTAGAGGTCTGAGCCCTTCGATGATAGGTTGGTACCAGACCTCAAACTCTGGATTAAAAATGTATAGCGCATTACTGCATGTCTTTCCTCCATGAAAGTGGTTGGGGTGAATTCCCCCAAAAACAAAGAGCTCTTTGTTGTAGAAGGTTGCAGAGTGATACGCCAACATGGGCACATCCCCTTTAGCCTACAGGAACAAATAATACTTTTTCCTTATGGTCCTTGAGTTTAATTAAACTACACACAGAAAACAGTCACACGGCAAACCACTTACAGTAACAACCTTCCACTTCCAGGTTAGTGTGTTGAGAATGTAGAGGTCACTGTAGCGCTGGCTATCCCTCAAACCACCATACACGTAGAGAGCCTTGGATTCAGGGTCAAAGTTGGCCGAGTGGCCACAGGCATGAGTTGGAACATTTCCAGAGGTCAAAGAGTTCATTTGGATCCAAAAGTCATTTTCTGAGGAAATGGTTGACACATTCTGGTCAAACAAATAGGTGCTATAAAAGACACCAGTGCGTTTATTACAAGTAATAAAAATGAACAAAGTGTCTTACCCATCTCGAGTTTCCACAAAGAGTCTTGACAGGGGATCTGACCAAATGCTTCTCCACCAATGATGATGGCTGTTGTGGGATCACTCAGCACCATGGAGTGGCTCCAACGTTTTGATGGACAAACTGAAAACCAAATATATTTAGAATTTAATCAAACATTGCGTTTCAAATAAATACATTCAGGGAGAATCCTGTGACCTGCTTTGCAATGTGGCTTCCTCTTTACAGACATATCAACAAAGTCAGAAAGCTTGCTTCTCTTCGAGATAGATCCTTGACTAGTTTCCTTCTGTGGAGTAGTACTATGTTCAGGGCTCCATGAGAAGCGACCCCTTTTCCCAATCACTGTCCGTCTAGGGGTCTTGTTCTTCAAACAAAAAGATAAAAAACACAGGTTTAATGTACACACACACACACACACACACACACACACACAGACACACACACAGAGAGTATCTTATTACCGTGGGCCAAACACAGGGATTCTCAGATAAAGTAGAGTCATTGATTTCTGTTGTCTCAGCCTTAATCTCAGCATAGCAAATGTTTTTAAGGGGAGAAGAGTTGGGCGTTGAAATCTGCAAGGAATTTCAAATGTTAGTTTCCTGTTTTACTAAATGACGCTGTTAATGGTTAATTAGATTTCAGAACACTAAACAGCTTATTTACAGTTAATGTGCTAACACACCAAAAAATCTGAATGTGAGTGAATTTACTTTTTTGCCACATAATGGGTAGGTAAACCCTTTCATTTACCCTATGGATCCCAGTGGTGTTAAGTGGACTTTGTGAGAGATGGCTGTTGTTGAGGTCAACTGGGCTGGAGCATTTTCTTGGCACAAGTGGGGTACTGCTGATGAAATCGGCATCATTCTTTTTGAGGAAAGAGTGTCCAAAAGTAATTGAAGTTACTGGTACATTATGTTATGAATGTTCTATTTTGGTCATTGAATTGATAATGTAATAAATCCAACAACTTGTGACAGTTGTCACATTCTCAACAACGGCATAAAAAATAATTTGGACAGTCTACATATTGACTTGTATATAATGGAATGTTGTTGCATTACAAAGTGGGATTAAAATAGATTGACTGTTGGTCATTTATTACTGAACTTGACAAAATGTAAAGATCAAAAAAGATTACAAATTAAAAGATAAATAACTATTGCTGTTTTCATGACTAGTCAAAATCTGTGATTCAACACTAATCCTCAAACCCCAGTGTCAAAATAATATAATTAAAATATAGAAAAATCGGCAGCATTTAAGTAACATGTCAGAAACACTGCAAAGAAATACATTTACTGGCAATCATTAAGAAAATGATCCCTGTTTGAAGCATGGGGATGTCTTTATCATACTGTAGGTTCGGTATGACTCAGCAAACACTGGTGTTTTTCAGGACATAAAAGAATGGTATAGAGCTTATCCCAGGCAAAATCCTAGAGAAAAGAGTGCTTCCTACTACTTTACACCCGAGTAAAAGATATATGACATGCCATCTGAAGGACTGAGCATGAGGGAAAAACTTTATCTGGTCTGATAAGACCGCTAGGCCGGTAGGCCCAAATGCCCAGCCATGCTGATAATTCTCAGCAGCAGGGACTGGAAGACAAGCTAGGACTGAAGGGCGGAGGACTGGCACAAAATACAGCGCTCCTTGAAGAAAATCTGACCTGGAACACACAAGACCTCGAACTGGGGAGAAAATGTGCCTAGGTTTACCCCATTTGCTATTGAAAGTATACTGAATAACAAACTGAAACCATACCTCTCCACAAACAGTAAGCAAAATCTTCCCATATACTCCTCGCCTCCCCTTTTCTGTTGCCTCTTTGACAAGGTCAGGGTTCCAACTTCCCTCCCAAGTCAAGCACCTTGGAAACAGGCAATGTAGACAGTATTGGCATTTTTGTTCAATTGGCTATTACAATAAATGAAGGCCGAATGTACCTTGTGAGGGCTGATAAAGTACCAATCCTATGTGGCTTCACGTCCTGGCTCACCAGAACATCAACTGAGATGGTTGTCTCGCTTGATAGGAACTTCCATTCCCCAAGACAGAAAACCACA